CCATGAGAAAACGTACTTACAGTACCCAGACTGCAGTAACCTTGGATGATATTTACATAGTATGCAGGTTAGCTTCTTCCCAGGAGAAATAAATTTGGGGAAGCAATTTGAGTAGGAAACAAATTAATGACCCTTTTAGTCAAGTATACCTCGGGAGAAGATATGATATATCAATGCTCATTCCTTGGTACTGTAAAAAAAAATCATTCGGAAGGCTCCTTAGTCATTGAGAGAGACTCTATAAGATAGCAGAGGCACAACGTATCGAATTTACAGTGAAAAGAAACTTCTTTTCTAGAATCTATAGGAACCATCACTCCATATCTGTAAACAAATTATGGATCCAAACCAGCTTGTATGTTTGGAGAACTGGTGCCTACAGAGTGACACCTACATTGTGTTGGAATAACTAAACTATCTTCCGTGCTTTTGCAATGGCATCTACTCCATCCTGGACGGTTCGATAACTTACTGTTAGGTATGGCTCATAAATATACCGAGAAAGTCTCGTAGTGGGGGTTATGATTATGTGGGTTGGGGGTGCGGGGGCTATGGCCCCGTGGTATGGTACAAGGTTATTTTTGTAAATATGTACCAGGGTTTATTTATTATAAAAGGAGATGTAACCTAAACCTATGAGACATTGAATTAAATAAAAAATTTAGCGCTGCCTAAGGCACCGAGGACGTAAGCACATTGCTGAACATCATTAAAATTCTTATATTCTTTATGTTTTCTTTACCCGATTATTCAACAATTGGTATCAGATGTTAGGAGACAAATTTGAAGTTGCGAAATTCGATGGTCAAGGTAACTTCAAATTATAGCAAACAAGGGTGAAGGATCTGTTGGAACAGCATGGGATCCTGAAGGCTTTGCGACCTACAAATCCGGCGTCGATAGAGGAGAAAGATTGGGAAGAATTGCAGCATCGAACGATAGGAACCATACGATTATGTTTGGTAGACGAGGTCATGTATCACGTCATGCATCTATCGTCTCCAGATAAAATTTTGAGGAAGTTGGAAAGTCAGTTTATGTCCAAATCCTTAATGACTAAACTGTATCTAAAGCAGCGGCTGTATGGGCTGAAGATGCAGGATGATCATGATTTGGCTTAACACGTGACTGTCTTCAATCAAATCGTTTCTAATTTGGCTCAGCTTGATGTGAAAATTGAGGATGAAGATAAAGCAATGATTTTGTTGTGTTCGTTGCCTCCCTCTTACGAACACATAGTGACTACTCTTACATATGGGAAAGAGACTATCAAAGTTGAGGAGATTACTGCAGCCTTGTTGGCTCGCAACCAGCGGAAGCAGAATACAGGGGAAAACTCTTAAGCTGATAGCTTATATGTCAAGGGTAATCGAGACCGTGGATAGAAGCCAGAGAAGGCAGGGTCTGGGAAGCGAAATTTCAGATCCAAATCTAGGGATAAGAAGACAATTCAATATTACAAGTGAAAGGAGGTGAGACATATGAAGCGAGACTGTCCGAAGTTGAAAAAGCAGACTGATGAGAAGCGTGATGACTCATCCAAGTCTGTGAATGTGGTCGAGGATGACAATTTTGATTGCAGTGAGGGTGATATGCTCTCTATTTCAATGACTCAATTGACGGATACTTGGATTCTTGATTCTGGATGTTCTTATCATATCACGCCAAATAGGGAATGGTTTTCGACGTACATGTCGGTTAATTCTGGTTCTATCTATTTGGGTAATGATCGATGTTACAATATTGTTGGTATTGGTGATGTCAGAATTAAGATGTATGATGGTTTTGTTCGGACATTGTGTGGTGTTCGACATATCCCAGATTTAAAGAAGAATTTTATTTCTCTGGGCACTTTGCACAAGAATAGTTTTATCCCTAAGGCTGATGAGGATAGGAAAACCATTTGAATTGTTAAAGGAGCTTTGACTGTGATGAAAGGAAAGACGACTGCAGGGAATATTTACAGATTGTTAGGGAGTATCATTGTAGGTGGAGTTCATTCTGTTGAGTCATGTGATGATACTACCAAATTGTGGCATATGCGTCTTGCTCATCTTAGTGAATATGATATGGCTGAATTACATAAAAGAAATCTGTTGCATTGTGTTAAAAGTTATAAGCTCGATTTTTGCAAGTATTGTGTTCTTGGTAAACAGACTAAAGTTCGTTTCAAGACTGGAAAGCACACAACTAAAAGGATTCTTGATTATGTGCATTTTGATAATGGGGGCCTTCCACGACATCGTCTTTGGGTGGATCTAGGTATTATGTTACTTTTATTGACAATTTTCACGAAAAGTTTGGGTGTATTTTTTGAAACAGAAGTCTGACGTTTTTTAGAAGTTCAAGCTGTGGAAAGCTGAGGTAGAAAACCAAACATGATGAAAAATCAAGTGTTTATGGTCTGATAATGGTACGGAGTACACAGATTCACAGTTTCTAAACTTCTGTAAGGAGCATGGGATTAAGAGACATTTTACAGTGCACAAGACATCACAACATAATGATATTGCGGAACGAATGAACATGTCGTTGAATGAAAGAGCCAGATGTTTGCGGTTGAATGTAGGGCTTCCCAAAAACTTCTGGGCTGAGGCTATTAACAATGGCGTGCTATCTTATCAATAGATCATCAAGGGAATCATTGGTTGAGAAAGTTGTAAGAGATACGGACTGGTCATGATGTTACTTTTGATCACTTACAGATTTTTGGTTGTCCTGCTTATGTGCATGTGCCTGCTAATAAGAGATCCAAAGTTGATGCAAAATCGAAGGAGTGCATTTTTCTGGGTTACAAGAAATGTGTCAAAGGATTCAAGTTATGGGATCCAGTTGCGAAGAAAATTGTGATCAGTAGAGATGTTTTTTTTATGAACAACCCATGTTGCAGCAGAAGAAAGACACGACAGTGGTTGATTTCGAGCAGTTTCCAGTTGAGAAAACAGAAACTTCTCAACCAACTTCTGGTGGTTCCGCTACATATGATTTGCAGGATTATAGTCTCGCCAAAGACAGGGTGAGACGGACGAATATAAAGCCTCCGAACAGATTGGATTTTGAAGACTTGGTCTCTTTTGCACTTATTGTTAGCAGTGATGATCCAATTACTTTTCATGATGTTGTTACTAGTCAGGAAAACGACAAGTGGATGGCTGCCATGGTTGAGGAGATGGAGTCTTTGAATCAAAATCGCACATGGGAGTTAGTTCGCCTTCCTGAGGGTAAGAAGCCTATTGGTTGCAAATGGGTGTATAAGAAGAAACCATCATCAAGGCTCGTTTGGTAGCAAAGAGTTTTTCACAGCAGAAAGGAGTTAATTATGATGAAATTTTTTCTCCTGTGGTCAGGCACACTTCAATCCGAACAGTACTTACATTGGTGGCTAGTTGGGATTTGCATTTAGAGCAGATAGATGTTAAAACTGCTTTTTTGCATAGTGATTTAGAGGAGCAGATCTACATGCAGTAGCCTGAAGGCTTCACTCAACCTGGAAACGAGCATTTAGTTTACAGATTGAAGAAATCTTTGTACGGGTTGAAACAGTCTCCGAGACAATGGTACAAATGGTTTGACTCCTATATGATCAAGATTGGCTACAAACGATATGAGTATGATTGTTGTGTCTATGTTAAGAGCCTTGATGATGGTTCTTTTATTTTTCTGTTACTGTATGTTGATGATATGTTAATTGCTGCGAAGAAATTGGATGATGTTATCAGTTTGAAAACTTTATTGAGTAAGGAATTTGATATGAAAGATTTAGGTGCTGCAAAGAAAATTTTTGGAATGAAAATTTGTAGGGACAGAGACTCAAGGAAACTGTGGCTATCTCAACGGGGGTTATGTTGAGAAAATTCTAGAAAGCTTTGCGATGAGCAGCGCAAAACCAGTGAGCACTCCATTGGCGAATCACTTTAAGCTCTCATCAGAACAGTGCCCTAAGATAGATAAGGAAGTTGAAGATATGGCAAAGGTTCTGTATTCTAATGTTGTTGGCTGCTTGATGTATGCAATGATATGTACTCGTCCTGATTTAGCTCATGTTGTTAGTCAAGTTTGTAAGTACATGTCTAAACCTGGTAAGCAACATTGGGAAGCAGTCAAGTGGATCTTTAGGTACTTAAAGGGTACTGTGGGACATGAAATTGTTTTTGGTAGTCAGTAGGATAATCCTTTGGTTGTAGGATATGTGGATTCAGACTATGCGGGTGATTTGGATAATAGAAGATCTACGACAGGGTATGTCTTTACTCTTGGTGGAGGGCCTATTTGTTGGAAGTCTACTGTTCAATCTGTTGTGGCATTATCTACAACTGAAGCTGAATACATGGCAGTAACTGAAGCAGCAAAAGAAACTTTATGGCTTATTGGTTTAGTGAAGGAGTTGGGTGTTCAGCAAGGTGGAGTTCAGTTGCTTTGTGACAATCAAAGTACTATTCACTTGGCTAAGAATCAGGTATATCGTGCTAGAACTAAGAACATTGATGTAAGGTTTCACAAGATCAGAGAGTTGGTTGCATCTGGAGAGATTTTGTTTCAGAAGGTACATGCTGATGAGAATGCTGCTGATATGTTCACCAAGCCAGTTACGACAGACAAATTCATGCATTGCTTGGACTTGTTGAGTGTTTCGTGTTATTAAAGAAGTAAGGTAACCCAACCCACATTGAAAGTTTCCTAAGGGGCGAGATATTCGCAAAGGTGGAGATTTTGTTAGATATGGCTCATAAATATACCGAGAAAGTCTCGTAGTGGGGGTTACGATTATGTGGGTTGTGGGTGTGGGGGTCGCGACCCCGCGGTATGGTATAGGGTTATTTTTGTAAATATGTACCAGTGTTTATTTATTATAAAAGGAGATGTAACCTAAACTTATGAGACATTGAATTGAATAAAAAACTCTAGCGCGCCTAAGGTACCGACGACGTAAGCACATTGCTGAACCTCGTTAAAATTATTGTGTTCTTTCTGTTTTCTTTACCCGATTATTCAACACTTACCATGATTTTCATTACTCAGGTTTTCATCAAATTTATTGATGCTACATCCAGTAGCATAAACTTTCCTGACAGTTGAAAGAAGATCCATAGACAGTAATGCAACTGTATCATAAACATCATCTACTGTCCAACGATCATCACCTGATTTCCATTCCTTAAGCAGAAGCTTTTGCATCAAACCAAGGAGGGTATGTAGGCAGCCAGAGCAGCAACGGTAAAAGCATGTAACTTTGGGTTCAGCTAGAAGAGCAGTTCCATTCGAAGTGAAATCGGGATCTTTTTTGTGTTCATGATCGTCAGGCTTACCAAGTTCAGGTGTGATAGTGATCTCAATTTCAGAAGCATTAATGTGGTTGCAAGTTTCCCAGAACCAGAGAACTTTACACTGTCTAGTTCATCTGAACTACAAAATCTATTCTCAGAAAGTACATTTTTGCTCGGTGCAAATCCATTACATTGTTTTGAAGACCAAGGATCTCCCACAAGCATAGGATTTCCGATACTTACTGAACCACTTGGTCCAGGCATTGTCCTGTTCTGCTCATCTACACAAAGCTGATCATTGGCCACAGAACAGTTATGATGCTCTGAAATAGTATTATCACAGAGACTTACATTCACTACAGCTTCTTCCACTGCAGCAACTTCTCCCTTGTGACTAGAATCACAATCATCATCCATCTTGTTCAAGTCAATGGAATCTGTATTTTGAGCAGTTAATTCTCCCTCAACTATACGACTTCTAGTACTTTCTGATGCACACAGACTACTTGTCGCATTCTTCTCATCTACACAAGCTGGTTGGTTGGCGGGAGAAGAATTAAGATGCTCATCTGAAATGTTATTACCACTGATGCCTATCCCCTGCACAGCTTCTTCAAAAAGTTCATCTTTTTCCTCGTTGTCATCCTTTTTGTTTAAATCAATGAAATCAGTATTTTGCACAGCAGATTCCTTGGTGTTTGCACTTGGACCTTTGGATTCAGGGCAACTTCCTGATCTATCTGTATCATTCATACCTGTAGAATAATTACCATGAGATCCCAAAGCATATGGGACTTGCTGCTTTTATTTGAAGATCTTGATCTAAACTGCAAATGAATCAAATCTCTTGTTAGATTATAATCTATACACATGTATATATGAACCCAAACATATGTGTTGGTAATGCTCAATCCCACATAGTGTTGGAAACACTATTGGGAATGGTATTTAAGGCTTGACATTCCACTTCCTTGTTGAGTGATAGAGAACAAGGGGGGCTCTCGCGCACCGCCGCCGCCGTCCGTCCGTCTCGTCTCGTCTCGGCTCGTGGTCGTGGTCGTGGTCGTGGTCGTGGTCGTGGTAATACGTGTCTTCGACACGTCCGCGCGGATACTATCTTTTTAGAGAAAATTCTTGAGGAATTTCTCTTTGAAAGAAACAAATGGAAAATGTGAAAGATATCAACTGATATTTATAGGCTGCTGAGGACTGTTTGAATTTCAAATAATAACAGCTGAATTATTTTTTTTTATCAGAAATTAAACAGTTTATTCCTAAATTAAATCAGAAACGTTAAGATGTACCTGGACTGATTTACAGCTTTGTACAGAGGAGACAAGCTGTTAATATCAGGAGTTACAGGAGTTATTTGATTTAATTCCAGGGGTTACATGATATAATTTCGGGAGTTATAACAGCTGAATAATGATACAATGAACCTAGACTATTTCTGAGTCAGGTTCATCTAGACGTTTCAGCTGTTACAAATAAGAGGTTTAATCCTGAAATTTTATGGACGATTTTAACCCTATTTCTAGCCTATAAATAGAGAGCTATATTCAGCTTCTCAACTCACTCCAAAAACATTTACAATTCACTTACAAAGTGTTTTCTAAAGTTCTCTCCGTGAGTTCTCTCTAAGTGCTTTCCGATCAGAAGTACCATACCACCAGCAGTCCACTCCGGTTTCGGGTGTACGGAATTTGGAGCGACCGTGTTAACCTCGGGGGACGGTCCGCCTACTGCAGCGATTACACACATCGAGGCGAATTCGTTTCTAAGGCAGTGGTTCTTACCACGACACGGTTTACGAATCTGTTCTTCTTAATTACTGTTTATATTTTCAGTCAGTGCTAACGGTGTAGTTTTGCAGTTCATATATCCAACAATTTAGAAACGAATTTCCATAAACTGCAATCATGTCGACACCTTTGAGCAAACTCATTCCCGATCTTTCCAAGCTCGATGCACTTGATGGAAAGAACTATAGAAGGTGGTCCCAAAGAATTCTGATATTCTTCGAGCAACTTGATCTTGATTACGTGTTGCTCAAGCCACCACCTACCATGCCACCAACCCCAGCTGTCGGTAATGATGCGGATACGATCCTCAATGATGATGCCTTAGCAACTGCCGCCGCCGCTCTCGCTACCTACGAGAAATACGAGAAGGATAACAAGACGGTACGAGGACATTTGCTCAGCCACATGTCAAATAAACTATTTGATATGTTCCTTAGAGAAAGGAGTGCCAAGACAATATGGGACACTCTCGACAAGAAGTATGGTGCGGATGATGCAGGGATCAAGAAGTACGTTGTCGGTGAATGGCTCAAATTCCAGATGACAGACGACAAACCAATAATGGATCAAGTCCATGACTATGAGAACTTAGTCACTGACATCATCGCTGAAGGGATGCAAATGTGTGAGGTGCTGCAAGCCAATGTACTCATTGAGAAGCTGCCCAAGTCCTGGTCCGATTACCGCAACTCTCTTAAGCATAAGAAGAGAGACATTTCGCTTGAAGAACTTGTGGGCCATATGAAGATTGAAGAAGCCAACCGTTTAAAAGATAAGCTTACTAATTCTATGAGTAATTTATCTTTTAGAGCTAACTTGGTTGAGTCTAAATTTAAGAAGATCATGAAACGTGGGAATCAAGACAAAAAGACGAAACCACAGAAGGCTACCAACTTCAAGAAGTCAGGAAAGGCCAAACCGGAAGGAAAGACGTTCAAGTGTTATGTCTGCGGTTTACCTGGCCACAAAGCTTACCAATGCCAACACCGCTCAGATCGCCAAAATGACAACAAGCCACAGATGCACGTTGTAGAAGAAGATGATGATATCATTGCTGCGGTGGTCTCAGAAGTTAATCTGGTGGAGAACAGTTCAGAATGGGTAGTTGACACTGGCGCTTCGAAGCATTTCTGCGCAAGGAAGGAGTTTTTCACCGAGTTCGAGGATGGAAACACTGGTGAACGTGTGTACATGGGGAACTCTAGCAGCTCTGAAGTGCTAGGCAAAGGCAAGGTTTTACTCAAGTTGACTTCTGGTAAAACTCTGGCTTTAAATAATGTTCTGTATGTACCTGCCTTGCGTAGAAATTTGATAAGTGGTGGGCTTCTGAATAAGGCAGGCATTAAGTTAGTTTTTGAGGCAGATAAACTTGTACTTTCCCGAAATGGTGATTATGTGGGGAAAGGGTTTTTAAGCAATGGTTATTTGTCATAGAAACTCAATTTAATGAAAATAAAGCTACCACTTCTGCTTATATTGTTGAATCCATTGATATGTGGCATGCTAGATTAGGACACTGAATATTCATGCTTTAAAGAAATTAATGAATATGAATGTTCTGCCTAAACTAGACACAACTAGCTTTAACAAATGTGAGATTTGTGTAGAAGCTAAACATACTAGACCTCACTTTAAGACTGTTTCTAATAGAAAGACTGAACTGTTAGAACTTATTCATACTGATCTAGCAGATTTTAGAAACACTGAAAGTAAAGGAGGAAAACACTACTACATAACTTTTGTAGATGATTATTCAAGATATACAAAAGTTTATCTCCTAAGAACTAAAGATGAAGCTGAAAACTTCTTTCTTATTTATAAGGCAGAAGTTGAAAATCAGTTAGAAAGGAGAATCAAACGGGTTAGATCTGATAGAGGTGGTGAATATGGATCTAATTTCTTAAAAGATATTTGTGAAAAGAATGGCATAATTCATGAAACATCAGCCCCCTATTTTCCTCAACAGAATGGTATAGCCGAAAGGAAAAATAGAACTTTAAAAGAGATGATGAATTCTTTACTAATAAGTTCCGGGTTATCTGATAACATATGGGGGGAGGCCATTCTATCGGCAACTCATATCTTGAACCGAGTTACTCATAAGAAATTAGATTCTACCCCATATGAATTGTGGAAAGGATACGCTCCTAATTTACAATACCTGAAAGTGTGGGGGTGTCTGGCTAAAGTGGGCTTGCCAGATTTTAAGAAGTCCACCATTGGACCTAAAACCGTTGATGCAGTGTTTATAGGGTATGCTACGAATAGTGCTGCATACAGATTCATGCTTTTACAAGATTATTCTATTTGTGAATCAAGAGATGCTGTTTTCTTTGAAAATACTTTTCCTTTAAAGGAACCGAGAATAAATATTGAAACACAAATAGAATATATTCCATCAACTTCTTCTAGTAATCCTGCTAGTCTTTTGAACAAATTGATTTTGAGCCTAGAAGAAGTAAAAGGCAAAGAGTTGAAACCTCTTTTGGACCAGACTTTATTACTTCCTTTATTTCTGAGATAAATGATTTAGACTTCATTTCAGATCCTATAGCTCAAATTTTTCTATTAGATGAGGATCCTAAAACTTTTGAAGAAGCTATAAGATCTATCGATGCTAGTTTTTGAAAAAGCGCTGTTAATGATGAACTAGAATCGATAATGTCTAATCATACTTGGGAATTAGTTGACTTGCCTAAGGGATTCAAACCAATCTCCAACAAATGGGTCTTCCGGAAGAAACTAAGGCCAGATGGTTCGATTCAGCGGTACAAGGCAAGGTTAGTCGTCAAAGGGTTCACTCAAAGGTTTGGTTTAGACTACTTTGATACATACTCTCCCGTTACAAAAATCTCAACGATTCGTGCATTATTTGCACTAGCCTCTATTCATAAGTTGCAGGTACATCAAATGGATGTTAAGACTGCTTTCTTGAATGGGGATCTAGATGAGGAGATTTACATGGAGCAACCACTAGGTTTTGAGGCACCTGGTATGGAAGGCAAAGTTTGTAGACTCAAAAAGTCACTCTATGGACTTAAGCAGGCTCCTAAACAGTGGTATGAGAAATTTCATAAAACTATTCTTAGTTTTGGTTTTGTTGTGAATGGTTCGGATGCTTGTGTGTATTCGAAGATGTTTGAAACTGAATGTGTTATCATAAGTCTTTATGTTGACGACATGTTGATTTTCAGTTCTAACATTGAGTCCATTAACAAAGTTAAAAATTTCTTGTCCACTAAGTTTGAGATGACAAATTTGGGAGAAGTAGATGTAATCTTAGGAGTCAAAGTTACCAAAACTGAGAAGGGATTTTCTTTATGTCAAGCACATTATATAGAGAAAGTGCTAAAGAAATTTGACAGTTTTGATGTCGTCCTTGTTCGAACTCCTTATGACCCTAGCATACATCTAGTTAAGAATAAAGGAAGTAGTGTTTCCCAAACTGAATATGCTAAATTAATCGGAAGTTTAATGTTCTTAATGAACTATACTCGGCCTGATATTGCTTATGCCGTGAGTAGACTAAGTAGATATACTCATAATCCGAGTGGTGAGCACTGGATTGCGCTTAAACGCTTACTAAAGTATCTTAAGGGTACTGTGAATGGAAACTTGAGTTTGTTGGCTTTCCTGCGGTATTGGAAGGATATTGTGATGCCAACTGGGTTTCTGATAATGATGAGGTAAGCTCTACGAGCGGGTATGTTTTTACTTTGGGTGGAGCAGCGATCTCGTGGAAATCATCAAAGCAGACTTGTATTGCTCGTTCTACCATGGAGTCAGAGTTTATAGCTCTTGACCTAGCTGGGCAAGAAGCCGAGTGGCTCAGAAGCTTGTTAGCAGATATTCCGTTGTGGGGAAGACCGACTCCTCCAGTTTCATTGTTGTGTGATTCACAAGCTGCAATATGTGTGGCTAAGAACCAAGCTTACAATGGTAAGAAAAGACACATTCGCATAAGACATGAATCAGTTAGACACTTGATAAAGAATGGAGTGCTCTCTTTAGAGTATGTGAAGTCGGAAAGGAACCTAGCAGATCCACTTACCAAAGGGTTAAGTCGGAAGCTGGTCCTAGATTCATCGAGGGGGATGGGTCTAAAGCCCATTGGTTGAGGAATTCATGGTGGATACCCAACTTAGTTATCTAAGTTCCATGTGGTCAAACGAAACCATGGAAAGACTCATAGTGCACATTCCTACTGCCTATCCCTATGATGAATAATGTGCATGCCCAGGATGAGCTTAATTGCTCTTAATAAATTCATAGCCCAGGCTTTGGGTGGTCTTAGTGAGAAAGACTTGATGAATTTACCGATTTTGGCTGAATATCTATTCTTAATAAGTTCATATCCCAGAGTGAGTGGGTAGGAAATGATGAACTTACCGACAGAAAGGTTGAGTTTGTTAAACTCTTAATAAATTCAAATCCAAGTAGTTGGATGGTTCTAGTGAGAAGGACTTATTGAATTTACCGATAAATGAGGTTGAATATTTATTCTTAATGACTTCTTAGCCCAGAGTTTGGGTGGTTCATTTATAATGAACTTGAAAAAAGTCACCAAACCCTTTGTGAGGTTGAGCTATTATAAAAGCTCTTAATTATTTCATATTCCTTTTTAAAGGGTGGTTTATGTTGAGATAAACTTGATGAAATAACCTATGTAAGTGAGAAGGGTTAGCCGCCTTCTATGAAAAATGTTGGACTATTTTTCTAGCACACTTACTAGAATCCTGAGGTAAGATGGCCAAATATACGTTTGTATATATATCTTACACATCGAGGACTCAGGTGGATGAAGGGGTTAGTTGTGTGTTATGAGTTTACCCTGATCTTAGAAAGTTCCAGACTAGTTTCACTTATCTAAGAGAAGGATTGCTCATCATCACTATGTACTAGTTCCAGATATGTTCACTAGTGCTTAAGCAACTAATCTCGCTATTACTCTTCTGGAAAGCTTGTTTTCGAGTTTCAGAAGATTTCTTTCGCATTAGTGTGGGAATGTTGGTAATGCTCAATCCCACATAGTGTTGGAAACACTATTGGGAATGGTATTTAAGGCTTGACATTCCACTTCCTTGTTGAGTGATAGAGAACAAGGGGGGCTCTCGCGCACCGCCGCCGCCGTCCGTCCGTCTCGTCTCGGCTCGGCACGGCACGGCTCGGCTCGGCTCGTGGTCGTGGTCGTGGTCGAGGTCGTGGATCAACTGATATTTATAGGCTGCTGAGGACTGTTTGAATTTCAAATAATAACAGCTGAATTATTATTTTTTTATCAGAAATTAAACAGTTTATTCCTAAATTAAATCAGAAACGTTAAGATGTACCTGGACTGATTTACAGCTTTGTACAGAGGAGACAAGCTGTTAATATCAGGAGTTACAGGAGTTATTTGATTTAATTCCAGGGGTTACATGATATAATTTCGGGAGTTATAACAGCTGGATAATGATACAATGAACCTAGACTATTTCTGAGTCAGGTTCATCTAGACGTTTCAGCTGTTACAAATAAGAGGTTTAATCCTGAAATTTTTATGGACGATTTTAACCTTATTTCTAGCCTATAAATAGAGAGCTATATTAAGCTTCTCAACTCACTCCAAAAACATTTACAATTCACTTACAAAGTGTTTTCTAAAGTTCTCTCCGTGAGTTCTCTCTAAGTGCTTTCCGATCAGAAGTACCATACCACCAGCAGTCCACTCCGGTTTCGGGTGTACGGAATTTGGAGCGACCGTGTTAACCTCGGGGGACGGTCCGCCTACTGCAGCGATTACACACATCGAGGCGAATTCGTTTCTAAGGCAGTGGTTCTTACCACGACACGGTTTACGAATCTGTTCTTCTTAATTACTGTTTATATTTTCAGTCAGTGCTAACGGTGTAGTTTTGCAGTTCATATATCCAACATATGTAACAAGATTAATGTACCTCTGCAGTGAATAAACCCAGTTGTTAACCATATCTTCCAAATAAGCAACTTGAGACAGAATATGAACGTACTGATATCTGTCTTTTCCACTGTTAACTTTAGCATTAATCCACCCAACTAGTAGCTCAAGAACCTTCCGCACCTCAGAGGAAACTTCTCTAAGTGATGCATATAAGCCTCTGTATGCTGTTAAACCAACTGCAACCAGACCTCTGACCAAACCAAATTTCTCTTTCCTTTTTAGTGTTGCTGGAGCCACAAGCAACCGTTTCCTTGTCCGATGAGTTGGTGGGACGAATGATACAAGAGTTGAATGGCCAGCCCTTCCAGGTGCCACCTATTTCTGCATAAGGACCCACTTTAAGTTTTGCTGTCACCCAGCAAAGCTCTGCAAAATGAGGACATCGCAAAATTTGATAGCCAAATGAAGATATTGCCAGCCTCAAGTTTGATTTGCCCTTCAAATTTCTAATGTTGGCTGGTTGTGCCAACTCTGCCGGCACTGTGACGGACAAATCACCATAAGTTTGTGAACCAACTTCACGACCCAAATCATGAGATTTATCATCATTTTCTGCAGCTGCATGGGTTTGGACATAATTTTTTCTTTTGGAATCTTCATGGACATGAGACTTTTGATGAATTAAATGAACAAAAGATTGAAGGATATCCCTTGATAGCTCTGCAGCAGACAGTTTGATAACCATATCATGGTTGAAATTCTTGCCGAGATGCACTGTGAATCTGGTCACCGTGTGCCCTAATGTAGTTCTCTGACTACAATCTGGTAAATCACTCTTAAATAATTCCCTTACTCTGTCGGGGAGTTCCATGTGTGGAACTTCTGAAGTAGCCTGTTTGGAGATGAGAAGCATTAAGATTTAGACATGCTTGAAAGAGATGATAAACAGGAAAAGGGGTTGGGGGACCAAGACTTGTATATTAAGAGAAGAATATGATTGAATAAGGATAATACTGAAATACCAACACATTTATAACAATTGACTTGACAATGTCATAATCAAGTGAAAGGAACTCAAGCACCATGTTCCGAGTTTGTATTTTAGTTTTGATCAGTCAATCCATCCATGTCATTTTTAGAGAAAAAAGAAGCTATACCCTATTGCTTTCTCAAATGCAAGTAAGTCAACTCTCCAATTCCTTCTTGAATCAACCAGCTTACAAGAAAGCTGATAATCAGTAACTATCAAATTAACCTCTACTGTCAAACTGAAGAAATTTTACGTGATAGAAATACATTTATCAGCGCTTAGATTTAAATGAAGTCAAAAAAGTGCAAAGCAACCCAAGGAACTCTTGAAGAAAATAGAAATATAAATCAGATATCCAACAAAGCAAAAACTACTTTCATTCCAAAGCTCCACAAGTAGAGCGTAGCTACTCGAGCAACAAAATAAATTATTAAATCTTGAAAAGAAAAGAAAGTGATCAAAATAACTCGTCCCACAATTATCAAGGATGTAGACACACAAATAGACTCCGCATGCTCAACAAATGAGCTCCAGGTATGCGAGACACTTTGGACAGCAGCTGTACCCTCTGCTGTTTCAGTAAACTCAGATTGCTGCTCAGATGATTCATTTTCCTTTCCAACAAGTTGAGGATCTTCCTCCATGGATGCATGAGCTAACAGTGAATATGATTTGCTCTCCTCAGAAACTTGATTAATGGTCTCTACAGCCCACAAATCTATTTTTGGAATAAACACTACACTTGATCCCATGCTTGCACATTTCACTGACATTGAATTTCAATAGTTAATAAGGATTTCCCAACGAGTTAGATCAAGAAACCCTATAGTCTAACATTCACAAAAGAAGATGTTTTTAAGCTTAAAACACATGGTGTGAAAAGATAGAATAAAAGCAGAAAGCATCACACAAGAAGCTGAATAATTGTCATACATGTTCAGGAAATCCATTAGAAGCTAATACACTATCTGTTACAAGAGGGCCAAAAAAGAAATATTCCTAGATTACAAAATCACTAAGCAGCCTAAACCACGATCCAAGGAGCATACAAGGAAAAAAGGTGGGGAAACACATGTAAAAGCGCAGAGGTCAGCATCACATAAAATATCCCAGGTTAGTTAAAAAGTTAACAGGTGGTACCAAAAAACTAATGCTGCCTAGAACATAATGATAAAGTACGAAAAACATACTCAAAATTTCAGTTACTCCTTGAATTAAGTCACCATGCCCTTCTTGTGCAGTTGTAGCTAAATCGACTTTTTGTATTTCAACATTCCCAACAAAACAGTGAAGCAGACGAGAAGCAAGATGCTTTTGGCCAGACCTTGGACAGCCAGCAATTAATATTCGAAACCCCATTTTCCTTTTTGAAGTCAAATAAGTATTTTGTGACAAACTAGAACTGCCATTACGCAAAATTGGATGTTCAAACTTGCCAACCTAATCACTAACATCACCTACAAAAGCATCATAATTCTGTCCAATTAGCATTCCAGCACATGATAGCCTTCTCTCTATCTGTTTGATAACCTCTCCGTCCTGAAGAAGATCCCAAACATGCAACCACCAATGATCCTTGGGTAGTCTCTTTTCATGCAATGTGGAAACAATCACACTCTCGATCACACCACCAGCTTTAGAAAGAACTGGTGGCAACCAGAGGCGCTCATCCAAATGGAGAGAAACAAGCAAAGTGAATAATGGTTCTAACAAACAAGGAATGAGATCAGCAGGAAGAGGAGAGGCAACTAAATCTTGAGCAGCCATTCCAGCTTATCGACGTGAGCAAGGAGGTGGAGAACATGACAAAGCTTCCACCCAATCCCTTTCCTCAACTCTGACAGTAGGAAGAGGAACACGTTTAGCACCCGGAGTTTTCTCTTCGGCAGCAGACAATTTCCTGCAAAGGAAAATTCCTCCTCAGGGCAATATCAGCTGCTTGAGTACAAAGGGCCTATAAATATGCACCAGCAAACCCTACAGTCTTTCTTGCAACCCATTTCAGCATAGATCCAGTAACTGGTTTTTTGCCATTTTTTAGTATGAAGTTCAAGGATTGCAGCCCTGTCTTCCATTGATGGCAGTGGAAAATAAATATCTCGGTCAAATCTTCCAGGCCTCCTCAATGCAGGATCAACAGCATCAGGGCGATTAGTTGCACCTATCACCACCACTGAGCCCCGGGACTTTAAACCATCCAACAGAGCAAGCAGTGTGGACACAACTGAACTATGTGTCTGATCTATCTATCTCATCAAAGAATATTATTAAAATTTGACACCTCTCAGCAACCTGGAACAAGAGCCTCAGCTGACGTTCAGCATCACCAACATATTTCCCTAAACAGTCAGCACCTTTGCGGGCAAAATATGCAATCCGTTTATCCCCACGAGCACAAGCACCAATCAATGCTCGCACTACAAGAGTTTTACCTGTTCCGGGATATCCATGCAAAAGGACACCTCTTGGTGTTGTAAGGCCCAGATTATCAAAGAACTTGGGATACAACAGTGGTAAGATAACAACTTCCTTCATGCACCGGATAACACCCTGCAAGCAAGCAACAGATTCCCAACCCTCAAAAGATCTCCCACCATCAGACTCTGAGCCTCCAATATAGACGGGTGCTATTCTTAACAAGTCTCGATGAAGTCTCTTGCCCTCACGTTTCAAGAACTCTTCATCGATCCTCACCACAATGCTCCAACCATTTTTCTTCTGCCTCAATATCCTTTCGCCATGCATCATTTGATACCTTCCTCATTTCCAACTTCATTTTCTTAGCTTTCATTTTCTTTATCTTGGATAAATATTATATTCCTTGAGGTTGAAAGAGATGTCGATGATCAGTGCAAGCTATGAGAAATTTGCGATGATCAAAGATACAACCATTAGACCTTGCACAAGGCTGCAAAAAATAGAATGTCAACAATAAGAAAGTAACATGAACATCTTCATATTTCTCAAACGAAAACTGAAGCAGTGGAACTCAGGAGGATGTATTGAAGGAGACTTCTTTGGACAAAAGATATCAAAACACATACCAAGTGGTATGTTTTAGGACACCGGTCAACACGACATCCAATTGTTGCTCCTGGTCTCCCACTTCTGGTGCATTTTAACGCTCTTCCTCTACAATGGGCTGCCCTAACATTTTTTAAGTGGCCCAAGCTAGCAAAATAAACCTACAAAAAGGAATGTCAGAAAATGGGGACATGCATGCGTACAGAAAGGTGAATGTTGTTAAAAGGGGAAGATTCACGAAAGAAACTTTAAATGGACAAGAAGCTACGGTAAAAGACCATAACAATGTTGTCTCAAAAGTGAACACAAGCTACAGGACCAATAGTGGATTCCAAAATGCTTACAGAATCCTCTAGCAGACCGAGTAGGAAACAATTATTGATAAAATAAGTACTATATGTGTAAATGCATGCATATACTGACAGGAGCGGAATCATATCACATACAAGCTCACCTATATCAGGAAAAAGGCAATTAATAAGTTAAGCTTGTCTTAACGTCTTTTTTGACGAACGAATGAGTTTTCGATGAAAACCTCAAATTTACGACTTATTTGGAAAAATTGAATTTTTGTGTTTATTTTGATTAAATTGATTTGGAGTCATCATCGACCTTTGGGTTAGATAGGTTGAATACCTAAAAACATTCTTTAAAATAATTTTAAGAAAAATAATTTTAAAGACAAAAAAACTAGTTTGCGCTTGTCAAAGATTCATAATAGGTTCGAGAGTCGATTACGTGTGGGGAAGGGTTAACACCCCCACAACGCCCAAAAATTGGTACTTAATCGCTTGTATATTTTCGTGGTGGAAATTATAAATTCGAATGAAAAATTAAATTACGATCTATTTATTAAATATTGATTAATTTATTTCAAATTATTTATTAAGAAACAATCCTTAAATTGAGAAGAAATCACAGGATTTGTACGTCCTCCAATGTGAAGACTATCCTGTTAGGAAATATAACGAGAACAAGTAATTTCCCTATAGCCAGATTAGTGAGAATACGAAATAAAAGCGGAAAATAATACCCGAAAAATTGATAACGGAGTTCAGCCAATTGTGCTTACGTCTCCGGACTGCTGCAGATCTTTTACTGAAGAGAAAAATTACAAGTGTTTACAAAACACACACTTGAGAGAGAACTGGAAGATTTTGGGATGATTTTGAAGCTAAATGAGCTAGGGTATTTATAGTTGAAACTTAGAGACTAATCTTTGAAAATACCCTAAAGTACAATGACTAAATGTGTGATTTACCCTTGCCCAAATTCAACAAAACACAACAGCCCCTATTTTTGAATTCAACCGGCTGCCATCTAGAATGGCAGCCATCTAGAATTTCAACAATCTCCCACTTGAAGACTGATTTTAATCTGTCTTCACACCTTGATCGATGCAGCAGTATTTCTAGTCTTTTATTCTAGCATGCCAATTGAAGCTGAACACAACTTCAGTTTGTCCGTTGTCACCGTCTTTGTCAACATGTCTGCCGGATTTTGAGCTCCACTAATCTTTTCAAGTTTCAAAATCCCATCTTCCAGAAGAGACCGGATAAAATGATATCGCAATTGTATATGCTTTGTCCTGGAATGAAAAGACGGATTCTTCGCTAGATGGATAGCACTTTGACTGTCGCAATACAAGACATTGTTTTCTTGTTTCTTGCCTAACTCTTCCAAGAAACTTTGGAGCCAAACCATCTCCTTGCTGGCTTCCGTAACAGCGACATATTCTGCTTCGGTTGTGGAGAGAGCAACTATCTTCTGTAGTTGAGAAACCCAACTCACTGCAGTTCCTCCTAGAGTATAAACATACCCTGTAGTGCTTCTTCTGATGTCGACATTTCCGGCTAAGTCAGCATCTACATAGCCTGTCAGTATCGTATCTCCACATTTGAAACAAAGTGCTTTGTTTGTAGTACCCCGTAGATATCTGAGGATCCATTTAACTGCTTCCCAGTGTACCTTGCCTGGATTATTCATGTACCTGCTAACAGCTCCCACTACTTGAGCAATATCTGGTCTGGTACAAACCATGGCATACATCAGACTTCTAATTGCTGAGGCATATGGCACCTTCACCATGTGTGCACGTTCTTCCTCCGTCTTTGGTGACTGTTCTTTGGAGAGTTTAAAATGAACACCTAAAGGTGTACTTACTGGTTTAGAATCTTGCATGTTGAATCTGGAGAGTACTTTGTTGATGTACTCAGCCTGTGATAACATCAAAGTCCCCGACTTTGTGTCTCTCTTGATCCTCATCCCAAGAATCTGCTTTGCAGCGCCCAGATCTTTCATTGCAAATTGCTTCGACAATTTTTGCTTCAAGTTTATGATCTCTTGCATGTTTGAGCCTGCAACGAGCATGTCATCAACGTACAACAATAAAATAATGAAGCTATTGTCGAACCTCTTGATGTAGCAACAATGATCTGCTTGACATCTGGTAAAACCACTGCTACCCATGAAACTATCGAACTTCTTGTACCACTGTCTAGGAGCTTGTTTTAAACCATAATAGCTCTTCTTCAACCTGCATACCAGGTTTTTCTTGCCTGCCTCTATGAAGCCTTCTGGCTGCCTCATATAGATTTCTTCCTCCAAATCACCATGAAGAAAAGCTGTCTTTACATCTAACTGCTCAAGATGTAAATTCTCTGCAGCTACAATTTTCAACACCAGTCTGATTGTAGACAGTTTTACGACTGGAGAGAAAATTTCATTGTAGTCAATACCTTCTTTTTGCTGAAAACCTTTGACTACCAATCTTGCTTTATAGCGTTTGCTCCCATCGTGCTCTTCTTTGATCCTGTAAATCCACTTGTTATGGAGCGCTTTCTTGCCTTGTGGTAATTCAGCTAATTCCCATGTCTGATTTGGCATAAGCGAGTCCATCTCATCTTTCATGGAAGACTCCCACTTGACTGAATCCTCCACTTGCATTGCTTCATCATAGCACTCTGGTTCACCATTGTCAGTTAGCAACAAGTAGTGCAAAGAAGGAGAATACCGTTGGGTTGGTTTAGGAATTCTGGAGGAGCGTCTCAGTTCTGGTGTGCTTGGTTCTTCTTGAACTGCTTCAGGATTGATTTGAACATCATTTCCAGGAATCTCCTCAAACTCAGCAAATTCCTTTGTTTCAGCTTTGGTATTTGAACTACTTGATTCTACAATTGACATGTCTTTGTACATCACATTCTCATTGAAAATGACATCTCTGCTTCTGATGATCTTCCGATTTTCATAGTCCCAAAACCGGTAACCGAACTCATCACCGCCATAACCAACAAAGGCACATTTGTTGGACTTAGCATCAAGCTTACTTCTTTCAG